TACCATAGCCATGCCACTGTATTGTTATATTGTTGTTTCTTGCACGCTACAACAGAATGACAGTGTTCTTCATATTTAATTGTCTTCTGACTGCATAAAAAAGAGGAAAATGCCAGGTCCCAGGCTCAGTGCCTCTGTTGTTACATTGCTAGGAGTTTTCATCGTAGTTTAACACTTGGCTGCAGATTTAGTTCCAGGAATTATTTTGTCCAGGTAAGCCACCTAGATTTTAAAAAGGTAGCAAGCCAGGGACTGTATTTCAGAGCCAAAGCCACATTATTGAAAACCATCAATTTATCTTCACCTTGCATATGCCACTCAGTCTGGGGCCCTTAAACCCTCCTTCCAATACCTCCTGAAAAGGGAATGTTTGCAGTTAAGTACTGAAGAAGTGAATATGACTACAGTAGCTGTATCAGCTTTTACTTTCAATTTACAGACATTGCTATTTTAGTTGCTATTAATTGCAGTGATACAAGGAAGTTTCTGCCACTGCTGAAATAGATCGATAATAATAATTAAAAGAAAATTACAACTACAAGAACCCTATGCCATAATATGCCCTGTGAAGATCACTGAATTTTAAAGGCCACTGGGTCATGCAGTCTTAAATTATTAAACAACAGACAGAGAACTTTGGTTTTAGGTCATTTAGATTTCTGTAACTTTCGCTTCCAGCCATTGGCTCACAAAAACTAATTTTTGCAGAAAGGATGATCTTTTACACAACTCATTTGAAAACCATCTATTTGGTTATCTGTATGTACCACTTTGACTTCTTGTTCCATTCTTTGCAGCGTGTGACATGTCATTTTATGACCACATTTCCAACAGAGGTGAGAACAAGCTTCTTGGTTTTGTTTCATGACAAACTCAGAAACTCATAAATCTCAGTAAAAATTCAGGGAGAAATCAAAAACAAAAACACAAAACAAAACAAAATTATATTCTTCTGTTAGTAAAAGAGTCTTTTTCGGCTGAATTTAATACCTTATTTGTGAAAGTATTTTCCATTTGGCCAAAAGCTTGTCCATCCTCCTAATATGGGGAATATATAATACCTAATATACTTATTTACAGAAGCTCAAAAGCTGTGCTCAGCAGCACTGTATCAGTGTGTCTGTACCTGAGTGAGGGTACCTGAGGTCCTTCCAACTCCAGGAACTCTCCCAGTTGCATGGCTCCATGTGAGGACAAGAGCCAAACACCTGCACAACATGCTGTTTTCCTGGGATGCAAATTGATGTATTTGGTCCCAAAGGGAGTTGTAAAATGGTTTGACCGTATCTGGGCAGTGTCTGCAGGCACGCTGTAAACTCATTTGCTGGCAATTTCAGCACAGTGTGATTCTGGTAATTGTGACTTATATGGAAAAAATGGCTTTTAGCAGCCCAGACTGACATGGGACTAAAATCTTTGGATCCAAACACCGCTATCAAAACCCATTACTCCAAAATTTTGTGTCTTTTTTCTTTTTTTTTTCTTCAGTAAAAAAGAGACAGACAGACATTTTTGGATTAAATATGAAGTTTCAGAGAACTCTTTTATTTAAAAAGAAATAAAAATCAGCCTAGTTTCAGAGCTTCTGGGCACACACTCTGCATTCTGGTTCATACCTTGAAAACTGGCTGGATTCCTCAGTCTGTGTTATAGTGTCCCCTCTCACACTTCTGTATAAGAAAGGTTTTCTGTATGGCTTTGTTTTAGCCAGAATGTATTTCAGTGCAAGTAATGTTTCCCAATCAGAAAAGATGTCATGCATTTTTCTGATTTCTAGGACTACCATCCTACCAATTCTCCTAAATAAAGTAAGTATCCCACTGAGGATTCCATTTTCTCTCTCTTAGCTCATTTTTCTCCAGTCTATTTTACCTTATTCTCCTACCCTTTCAATACTACTTAGCCACTTAATTCCTCGTCCATCACATCAACTTAGATCACTCTATGCTGTGCAAGGTATCTCTCATTATCCTACCTTTCCCCCTCTTTGTCACACATCCCAATCCCCCTGAGCAGACTCTAACAGCCTGGCTTGGTAACTCCAGGCATGGAAACCTACACCTCTAATTCTGCCTCAAATCATCTTAATACCCGCCATTTCTCAATTTGTGTGCCATAATCCTTTCCATCAAATCCTCCTACCATGCCTCTACATCCACTGAACAACAAAATAACTTTGATTTGCAGTCATATTTGCCTCAGGTGGGAATTTCACACGAATCCAGCCTTGACCTAACATTGTCCATGATGGAAATGACAGTATGATGGAAATTACACCATTTCTTATCCAAGCCAAGACTGGCTGCATTTGAACAGCTACAACCCTCAGTAAGAAACATTTCCTTTTTTCAAACTCCATTTTTTTTTTTAATCTTTGGTTTTTGCTCCTTAATTTTGGCATTATAAATAGCACTCTGGTGCTTAAGGCATCTTAATCCACTTCAAGCACCTGTATCACACAGAGCAGTCTGCCACGGAGAGACACAAACCCAAACTTCCTCGGCCATATCCTTCCTTATGAGACATCTGTCCATAGGGAGGAAAAGAAATCCCCCCTTAACAACTAGAAGAAAATGCATTTGATGCTTTATGTGGAAAAATGAAGGATGGAGGTGGGACAAACTAGGGACACTTGGAAAGTCATCTTTCACTCTCTGGTTTTTAGGGCTATTCACTCTGATTTGGGTCCATCCCTCACCACTGCACCAAGAACTCAGAGCACCAGGACCTGCCACCAAGGTCTTTACTACTAAGGTCTGATTTTCTGTAACTTTATCTGAAATGCCACAATCACTGTCTTGAATGCTATGAATGTCCTCACCAACACACAGGGACAAGATGTAGAGCTAAAACCTACCAAAATCAAGACCTAAAAGAATTCTCTCTCCTACTTGCTTTAAGAAGGAAACACCCAGCTTCTAATGAGAAACTCTGCTTTTAATCAGAGCATCTCTTCCAAATTAAGATTATCAATTTCCTTATTCTTTACCTATGAACAGTGTATGAACACACTACTGCTGGGGGGCCAAAAAGTTAAATCCCAGACAAGAAGTACTAGTTAAAATAAATGTTAAAAGCCAAATGAAAATAAAGAGCATTAATAACTACAACCACCCAGAACACACCAACCAGCTCAAAGCTCTTAAATATCACAAATGAAGACCTATCGCCAAAAAATAATAATAAAAAAACTCCCTTGGAAGACAGAGAAAAAGAGAAATGTTGACCCAAGGATGAAAGACTGACTGTTTACATACCTGTTTCAAAATCAATTCTTTTCAGGCACTAGGGAAAACTGGAGTTGGTGGGGTTTGAAATCAAGTACATAAGCAGTTAAAAGCCAATGTCTGCTGGAGGCTCCAAAGCCATAACACACCATTTCATGACACGCAAATGTTATTCTTGGTTCTCTTATTAAAAAGTAGTTAATATCTCATTTGTTTTAAGGCAGGTGACAGCAGCTCCAGGATCGCTGGAGATCATGATATCTTGCTATTGTTACTACATTTTGGTTCAAGTTTGCCACTTTAAGTGTCTCAATTATAATGCACTATGCCAGTAATTCTCTTCCCTGTCAGAAATATTGCAGATGGTTTATTTCCCATCTATATGTTAGAGGAAGAGGTTAAGCTCATCATTTAAATCTGTATTGTTTGAGCATAGAAGTTTTCTCTTTGTTTTACAAATCAAAACACAAAAAACTAGAGATAATGCTGCATTTTTATAAAAATCAGGTTCTTCCGAGCCTGAAATTGGTTATTTTAAAAATCTGTATTATCTTTACAACCTTTATAATACCACCTTCTTACACAGCCTGATTGTACAACCTGCTTTCAGATGGGCAGCCCTCATATGATCTTGAATTTAAGCTGCAAGTATTATCACTTCTGTCATATTTGCTATAAATAAAATGGAACAATGTCAAAGGATGGTACTCAGCACAGAGACAGGAATGGAATTTTAAAGGAGCTCTACAAATTTGCAGCAAATTCTGCACTAAAAAATAAGAATGTAGATTTTATATAGTGAGGATATATAACTGTAGAATTTGAGAATTATAAAAACAAACAAACAAAACACTAAACGATATTCTGAGAAAAAACTATACAATGTGAAAAAATTATCAGTGGCTTTTTCATCTGTTTATGGCCCTAAAGATAAAAGGCTCTAGAGAAAAATTAAAACAAGTCCTAATGCCATTATAGTTGCATTTTAATAATGAATTTCTCTACACTGAGTTGTGCATGCATTATTTGTCGTAGTTATTGCTTGTGTTCTCTATTAGCTCAGGCTGCAAGCTCAATTTCATAAATGTTAACACATTTAGCAGTTAAAAAGCTTTAATTCAGCATCCATTTAAGATATTTATGTTTTCTCTCCTCAAACAGTTTCTAAAATTCCAGCAGTAGTTGAAGAACTGTTTAAAAAAAACCCAATAAAAACCAAACCAGAAATGCATCTACCTCCCAGCCAGACATTTAAAGTGAAATCAAATAAAAAAAAAATATCACAGCCTGGTTCAAATTAATCCTAGGGCAGGATTTAAAAAATGCTCATTCAGAGCCATTCTCTGCTTTTGTATAAGTCAGTGGCAAATTTGCCACCAGCTTCAGCCAGAGCAGATACAGAATTGTAATTATTTACATCAAGCCCTGCAAAGGATTAGGACTGCTGGGTATGAGCTGAAAAGGAAGCTGTGACAGGGGACATCCCAACTGGTCCAGCCCATTTTGATATGGACTTGCATCAGTGCTTTTGGATGACAAGCAAGCAATTCTAAACCTCATAGCATTAAACACCCACACGTGGTACTGAAATCACAAGACACCTCTTCTTCAACACAGGAATGTCTTGTAGGTAGAGCCCAGCAGCTTAAGGCCATCCCCACGTATTTGCACAGAGCATGAGTTGCCTCTTATTGCTGCCAGCTGCCTGGGAACATGCTTCTAAATTAACCCCTAATTAAAATAATCCTTTTGAGACAGACTAAAATTACTTACCTCATCCACATTCTCAAAGGCATTGATGATGTCATATGGTAAACAGGACAGAAGATCAATCACAAACCACGTTTTCAGGTAGTTCATCCGTATGAGTTTGGGATCAGATATAACCTCTCCACCAGGGCCAACAAAGGTCGTATGAAAGTTCAAAACAATGTCAACCAGAAAAATAACATCCACTACACTGTCCAGCACGAGCCAGGCAATGTTGTTCTGTTTTGTCTTGAAGGACACGTTATATGGAACCATAATTGCTGTGTAGAAGGTTAGAATTAAGATGACCCAGTCCCAAGTGGTCTTAAAAGCACAATAGTGTAGTATAATGTGTGGTGGAGTCTTTGGAGCTTCTTGCTTGTACTGAGGAAGAATATCAGATCCCAGCTGGAGAACCTGTAAAAGATAGAGAAGCAAATGCTACTGTTTTCAACAAATATGATCCAATAAGGGGTCTTATGGATTTCTGTAAGGAGCAGAACAAAGATGGGACTGTGTTTGTTGGACACTGCAAGTCAACCCACAGTTTTCAAATTATCTGATTTATTTAGAATGTGTGGAGGCAAGTATCACTCAGTGAATAGGAGCAGCACGGCATCTAAGGATAGTCCTGCAAAAAAGGAGGTCTCTGCAGATGGACTGAGGGGAAACCATGCCAACAGCAAGGGAAGAGAGGTTCCATAGACAGGTCGTGGGTACTCCCACACCAGCTTATGCTCTGCAGCTATGAACATAGAATCATGGAACAGTTAAGGTTGGAAGGGACCTTAAAGATCATCTATCTCCAGCCAGGGAATCTTCCATTAGACCAGGTTGCTCCAAGGCCCATTCATCTGGTCTTAAACACTTTCAGGGATGGGGCATCTGCAACTTCTCTGGGCAACCTTTTCGACTGCCTCACCACCCTCACAGTAAAGAATTTCTTCCTAACACTTAATCTAAACATGAGCACTCATATTTGGAAGCATTACAGGACTAATTCCTTGTGCCTGACCTCTTTTTTAAACTGCTGTTGAGCCAGAGCAACACCTCCTAAAATGAAGCATTGTGTGCACGACTTCTGCCCTAACACCCCGGTGGCAATATCATGCTTCCTTCTTATTTTCTTCAAAAAGTTGCTGTTCTTACAAGCTCAATATCACTAGAGGGTTCTCTTTTATTTCCTGTAATTACTTCTCATTTTTTGCGCAGGACTATAATCTCCTGTATGCTCACTGTTGGAAAATGTGGAACTAGAAATACTGCAAAGGAACCAAGCCAAATTCACTTAAGACATTCCTCCCAGTTAATCTAATTACCTCTTATCTCAGTCCAACACAAGAAACAAAAGCACAAAGGAATGCACACGTGGCAATATATTGCTCTGACAACTGAAAGATCCACATGTATTTTGGAACTAATAACACCTTTTAGATTTGTGGATCTCAAGTCTCTATGGGATAAAATAAATAATTACAGCAACTTTAAAACTCTTTTCAATCCTACACCTGTCCCACATTGGAGCTGATGCACTGTATCTCCAGGGAGAGCTGGATTGCAAACAGCAGTCTCATATGTGTAAAACTGATAAAACCCTGGATGCTTCCTTGATGAAGAGGAGTAAATGGCTCTGAATAAACTGCACAACAGCTAAGAATATGAATTCAAGTACCACAGATGCAGATTGTCCATTAATTCTTTGCAGTCTTGTTTTTTAGATGTTTTTAAGAGAAAGCTGTTCCTGAAAACAGACAGTGAAAGTCTGGCTGTGCTGAAAATCTGTTCTTCAGAAATCACCAAGGAGCAACAAGAGCAGCCTCTCTCATACTTTGCCAGGGGATGTGGCTTCCCAACATGTCTCATCTGGGCCAACGTCAGGCTGCACCCTGAAGGGATGCAAACCTGCTTCTGCCTACCTGTTCCCACCCTCCCTAAGCTCATATTTAGCAATCACGATCTGTGAGGAAAGTCAGTTAAGCTGATACAACTAAAAACTAACTTGTTACATTAGTTGGCCATTTATATTCTACAGGGTCAGTTGAATTGCATAAATTTACCCTGTGGCAGAAAAGCACTAGACCCACTACCCAGGCAGCAGTGAGAGTGCAGCAGAGCCCCTCAGGAGCCCATGGCTGCTCCCTTTGCCAACACCAGCTCTGCTGTAGCACAAAGCCGTGTGTGGAACGCCAGCTGAAGGGCAACACACACCAAGCAGTGTAGTCCCACTGGCACTTGTCAGAGACCCTCACAGATGCCAAACCCCTGGTGAGACCCATAAAAATATCAGCCTCCAGGTGTCCCCTCCCCAGGTACCAGGAAAGATTCACTAACAGCACTTCTACATTCCTATAACCACCCAACAGGCAAAGCTGGCCACTGTGGCACACTGAACTCGCTGGTGGATCCATGGGTTTTCCCCTGGAATTAAAGCAATGATCAATACAGCCATTTTTTGAAAGCAGCCTTTGTGAAAATCCATTACACTTCTTTCAAAGCCAAAATTTTCCCCTACACATAACATCATTTTGGCTTTGCCTCATAATATCTTTTTTATCTCCACTTATCTCTTTGGACTCATCAGCGTTCAACATTTTGATGATAAATCAGCACTGGGACTTCTTTCCTTGGTTTCTCCAGACCTATTTGTTCCCTGCCTTGTTCACTGGGGCAGGAGCTGGAAACATCCTCACCATAGCTGGAATAATAAGCTACTTAGGGCTCAAGCCGAATGCGATTAACATAAGCTTGATAGTTCCCTGTGCCTCTGGTGGTGGAGTGCTTAGGAGTTCCCATGATACTGTAAAAGCATAATTATTATTCTTAACATAATATCATGCTGAGTTTGACATGGTGAGTGGGTGGCAAGTGGCTGTGGAGACCACTGAACTATAATGATTATTTCTTTCATGCCGCATGAATTTTTAATTTTAAATCACTAAAGAATACACAATATCTTGTTAGTCAGCTGCATTCACCACAGACTCTCTGAATTATTCCCGTGTATAGCTAATGAAAGTGGCTGATAACTGTTAAGCCTGATAAAGGGGAGCATTATGTTCTGCAAGGGGTGAGCTATGGAGATAATGCTCCTCTTCAAATTTGAGTTGTTATTATCAAAGTTCACTAAAACCAGAAAGGGAATGAAAAAACCCATAAAAATATTTAAAGCAGCAACCAGTTCTCAGCATGAGACAAAGGACAAACTCTCTGGCACAAGTTGACTAGGGCTGTAATCCTCAGTAGCCCATATATTTTGACCATATATTTTTGACCCATTTATTTTTCATTACCAATGGACATGAAGATGAAAGCAGTACCTCTGTTTCATCAGTTAACCTGAAGGTATTCACCATCTGCACTGTTAAGGAGATGTTTGCAACCTGCCAAAGAGGTTCATTCATCAGTTCTGAAGACAAAAGTGATGAGCAAAATACTGCAGGAATGACTTCGCAGGAAGGTCGAGACTGGGGTATATACACAGCCCATGTGCCTCTACAACCCCAGGGACACAGACAGGGATGCTTCCAGAGAGGTTTCTCTACCAATCCCATGTCCCTGGGAGAGTAAGCAACCATCCATGGGACTCAAGGACATCAAGCCTGGTTCCACATGGAGGAGCACACTGTGCACCCAAAGTTATGGAACAACCAGAAAACAGAGGATTGCACGCACAGAAACAGATCATGTAAGTAAAAGCGACCCACGGAGAATGTTTTTGTGACCTGTCCCAGAAACGTGGCCTTGGCACGTAGTGATGCTTTAGGACGAGTAGAGGAGAGGCTGAAAAAATCAGTCAGGAAATATTTCCCTCTAAAAATATTATTTATCGATGGGAATTAGGATGGGGTTTTTCCTCCCCCCCTAGTCTCTTCCTGCCTTAGGAAGGGAGCAGGCTGGTGTCCGTCCCACTTACTTCAGCTAAGCGGGAGTGCTTGTGCACCACCTCGGCCTTGTTCATCGGGGTCAGCTGCTGCAGCACACTCCGGCTGTTCGTCAGGGCCCGTGTCAGCCGAGCAAACTTGGTCCAACCTGCGGGAAAGAGGGAAATCACGTCACAAGTACTCAGACCTCACTCATCGCTAGTAAATCTCCTTTGCGTTCGCTCATATTTAAGTCTCAGACTTGACCAGTTTTGCTACATTGCTGCACGGAGCAGCCCCAGGCTCTGGGCTTGGAGACCTTGACAAAGAGGAAAAATACTGCTCCTTCTGGGCAACCATGGGTGAATGTGAGTGAAATCACAACGTGCTCTACTCTGCATGCTAGAGACATTATATTAGAGGGATCACATCGTGCTTTCAGTCTTCTGGGCACTTACTCTGCTGCTGAAATCTAACTCTCAGCCACTGAAGTTAATGCAAATGCTTTCCAGGTCTGCAAATCCTGCTGAAGGAAAATCCTCCCGAAGCCATAAGGTCCATCTGTTTTTTTCTTATTTTCCTAATTTTATAAGCTTTATAAGTAGCTAAGTACTAAAAGTAGATTTTAGAAGCAGCAGCCCTTATTCCCTCACCCTTTAGCACAATAGTTTACACATTCCCTACCCCATCACCCCATTCTATGTTCCCCATATCAATTCTACCCCTGAATTCCAGTAGAAAATGTTTAGTCTTTTGTCAAGGCAGGCCTCTTCTGTTTGAGGACATCTAAACCTGGCCTGAAACGCAAGAGAACAGTAAGGAACTGGGTGACCGTGTACCCTCTGTGCTCTGAAGAAGATGAAGATGATGAAGAAGGGGTCCCAAAAAGCCCCCAGACCCAATTTCCAGGGGATGGGCCAGGGGTGGACCAGAGCAAAGGCAACAGGGTGGAAACACTTGGGATTGGACAGATAGTATTATAAATTGTAACATCTCAGGCACAGCCGGCACACGTGTCTTCTGATCTTTATGCCTAGGCACAAATTAAACCCTTTTCTTATCTCATCCCTAATTAACTGCTCCGTAGTTTTTTTTCCTCAGCTCCTATTAGGTATCACTCCCCAGCTACAGAAAGGCTCCTGCCTCCTAAGGATCAGTCCCAAAATTCTGATCCTTAAGTCTTTACTATTTCTTGCCCCAGCTAAAATTCAGGGACAAAAATAAAACTTAGGAAAAAAAGTAATTCAGGACTGCACCAGCAGAAATGCTTCAGACTAAAACAAAAGGAATCATTAAGCCTTTAAAGACAGATTAGGAACTCTATTTTAAATGGCATTAAGAAATACATTTAGCTATTATACTGATGATAAACAGCTGCTTTGAGCAGCTTGCGATCCACATACTGGGCTGTCCCTGGGGAACTTTTTTCTGCAGCATTCAGCAAGGAGCAGAGTTTGTTACTGACAGCAGCACCAACCCAGGAATGTTTCATCAAGTCAGTCCTGCTGGAAAAACACCCCAACGTGACAACTGGCGTGAATGTGACAATGGATGGAGTAGATGGGTAGCAAAGAAAAGGCACGGGGTTTAAGCAGTGTAGCACCTCAATGTTAAGCAGGAAAATTGAAAATCCAGGTATATGCAGGAAGGAAAAATCCCCCCAAGGACATTGAAAGAGATGCTCAACATTCAGTTTAGCATCTTTTTTTTTTTTTTTTTAACAGAGGGGTGTGGATAAAATACCAAAGAAGTTATAGACAGGAAATGGCTTCAGGAGAAGGTTTTAATTTTATTTAGCTTGAATGCTGAGTAGGTGAAAATTGGGGGAAATATTAATATCTGAGAAAGTAAACACAACATTTCTGTCTTAGCTAGGTTTAGTTTTAAATGCCTCCTGTCCAATAGGAGTCAGAGACTTGAAAAGTTAAGGGAAGCCCAGGGGTAGATAAAATAAAGAGCAGGGAACAGAGAAGACAATAAAACTTCAGGAAGAAAAATAATGTACGATTTGACTTTGTCCTTTACCACACAGATATCACATTCACGCAAATGTAAATCCATTGTTCATCATTTAGCAATTAGAACAGCCCAAAATATCATGGTATGCCACCAGCACAGCACAAACATTTGTGTCTGGCTATTTATATATGACCTCAAAAATGCACATAAAAAATTCACTGGGAAAAGGTAAAAAAATAGAAGCATTTTATTAACTTTTGAAATGCAAACTCTAAATGTGAGCTTTGAGTATGCCTGATGGTTGTGCAGCTTACAGGGATATTCAATTAGGAATATGCACTTTCTGTATTAAACAAGGTCAAGGGAAACTACAGTGATCTGAGTATGAACTAATAATTTCTAGAAGAAATTCTTGTGCTTTTCTTTTTGCTAATTGTCTATAAAACTGCTACAAGCTTTAAGACAGAAGTCAGAACTGTTCATCTTTCTTAACCAGCAATTTCAAAGAGCAAGCGAGCATGGTAACAGCATTGTGACAGCTCTGCCCTAACTCTGCCCAATTTCTAGTAATTGCTGGAGGTCACGGTGCACCCAGGTGATTTCTTTTGGCACTCTGCAATCACACGGCAAGAATCAGAGAAAAAGAGCAGCTCTCCTCTGGGAAGGTGTTCACCCACTTCCCTGGGTAGGTACTTAAACACACATGCACATACAATCACTGTCCTCTTCCCCTGGAAAGACACTTCCCTGTGGTCCATAAGGACAAATCTGGGCCAGTCCCCAAGCGACAGTCTGTCATCCTGCTTCACAGAGTTAAAATGGGGATGATGGAAAAATGCTCAGCAAAGACAAAACCACCACAGACAAACGGCTGGATACAGTCCCAGTTTGTCACATCTCAGTGTTGTCAGCTACTCCAGCTCTTGACAGGAACCTCATCATGTTCAGAAAGGAAAAGTGCAAAGCCTTGTACCTAAGAAGGTACAAACCCATGCACCAATATATGCTGGGAGACACCCACATGGAAAGTGGTTTGACAGAAAAGGACCTGTAGGTCCTGGGGAACCAGATTGAATGTGTCTGTGCTGGAAAGAAAGAGAGCAGTATCCTTGGTTGAATTAGACAAAATACTGCCAGCAGGTCAAGGAAGGTGATTCTTCCCTTTTACTCAGCAGTGGTGAGGCCAGTACCTGGAGTCCCGTGTCCAGCTGTGGGCTCCCCAGTACAAAAGAGACATGAACATACTGAAGAGAGTCCAACCAAGGGCCACAGAGATGATTAAGGGACTGGAGCATTTCTTATCTGAGAAAGGGCTGAGAGAGCTGGGACTGCTCAGCTTGGAGAAGGCTTGGGGGACAGATCTTACTGAAGTGTACACATATCTGACAGGAGGGTGCAAAAAGGATGGAGCCAGGCCCTTTTCAGTGGTGCCTAGTGACAAGGCCAGAGACAATGGGCACAAAATGAAACACAAGAGGTTCCGTCTGAACATCAGGAAAACACTGTTTTACTGTGAGGATGACAGTACACAAGTCACACACAAGTCACTTGAGCAACAGCACAAGTTGCCCAGAGATGTTGTAGAGATGTTCATCCTTGGAGATATTCAAAAACTGTAGGGATATGGTCCTGAGCAAGTGGTCCTGCTTGAGCAGAGGTTTAGACAAGATGACTTCCAGAGATCCCTTCCAGCCTCAACCATTCTGTGATTCTGTGATGTTCCTGACAGCTGATGGCTAAAGATTTAAGGTTACTTACTTACTTTACTTATGAAGGTGTAGGGCACTGATCTGTGCAGTGATTAAATGAGGATTTGGAGAAGAGTCGGGGGCTAGCAATGATAGGAGATATATTCATGTACTCTCTAGAAATCCTTTTCCGTGGTGCTTTGCAGGCTGAGAGATACCACTCACAAAAATATGGGTTTTAAAATGCATCTCTTCTTATAAAAGCAAAACTGGTAAGAAATCCCTTGTCACTGTTTTAGGTAAGAAAAACATCTGTCCTGCATTAACCACAAATACAGAATTCAAGGGGAAGATAGGGAAGACAGAGCTGGAGCAGTAAGATGCAAACCAAACAACAGCAATCATTTTGCTGTAAAAATAAAAGAAAGGAAAAACTATGATTTTTCCAAATCCTCCCTTACCACTTCAGTGAGATTATCAATATCAGGTGAAAGAAAGAAGTCACACGTTTTAGCATTCAAGGTTACCACTCTGCTCATCTAGTCTGACCTCTTCTTTTCATAGGACAAACCATTTCATCGTGTCCTTTCTCCGCCAAGACCAAAGCTTTGCTTTGTGCCAGAGCAGACCTTTTGCAAAAGCCCTTCCAGCCTCATTTAGAGACTTCACATTTTCACACTTCTTTCAGCCCTGTGAAGCTCATGATTCTGGATGTCAGAAGCACAGAATACACCAAAATGACTTTTTTTCCAATTCAGCACAAAGTCCAGCATTATTTTACCTGCTCCAATCTATATCTATCCATCTGCAATAGTGTGACAAAAAAAGTGCCCAGTTCTTTTGTTTCCTATTTACAACCCAAGAGAACAAAAAACATAGCAGCAAGATGCTGGGGTACGAGTGGGAAGGTGAAAATGTATACAGGCTGCCTCTGGTCTGAAATAATCTGCACAGGGTACATTTCTCCGTTTCTTGACCTTGTTGTAGACTGGATATGTTCAGAATTATATTTAAAACCAATGTGTACATTTAAATAGACCAGGAAAAATTTGCATAGCTGCCTACTGCTGTCAATGTTTCTTCAAACGATTCTCTCCTTTCTTTTCCTCTACAGAGAGAGACTTGAAAAGAATGATAATTTTATCTCCTGTATTAGTGACCGCCTGTCCTCGCAGATATTTTCAGTCTGGAAGGAGTAAAGATGCTGCACAAATAGCAGGTTTAAGGGTGGGGGGGGAACATACTCGTGAGAAAAAGCAACACTTCTGATGCTCTCTTCAGCTCGGCTGCATTGTGTCTTTCTTCCATAGCACCACTTGAAAAATAACACCCTGAACCTGCACCACTGCACTCAGATTTTTGGGAAAAAAAGCAACATCATCAGATCACACACCAGATCAGGCCAGCAGCTGCTCCTCCTTACAAGAAGTTAAACTGGGTATTTCAGACAAAAATGTTAACTACCTCAAATGGAAAATTCTGGAATAGCATACACATACAATGATTGTTTCTTCTGGTTCTC